ACGAACTCGAAGCAAAGCGATGAGCCAGAAAAAACTCGGGAAAGGCCAAAAACACAGAGAGGCTCGAAGCAAAGCAATTAGCTATGAAAAAGCTCGAGAAAAACTAAGAAGCCAGCAGAAAGGCTGGAATCATGGCGATGATTGATAGAGAGCTCGGGAAAAAACTAAAAATCCAGAAAGCATCAAAGCAAAGTGATGAGTAAGACAAAGCTCGAGAAAATACCAAGAACCCATAGAGGCTCGAAGCAAAGCGATGAGCTAAGATAAAGCTCGAGATAATAAAGAGTCAAATAGACTAACGAAATGAAACAAATAATTCGGGGTGACTCGAAGGAAGGTAAAGAGTCCAGAAAGACTCGAAAAAAGGAAGCAAGGAGTGAAGAAAGACTTGAAGGAAGGAATCAAAGAGTCAAGAAAGACTCGAAGAAATGAGTGAAAGAGTCGAAAAAGATTCGAAAGAAGGAATCAAAGAGTCCAGAAAGACTCACCGCAACAACAAATGGAAATGAGATGGAAAGACCGAATAAAGGTAGGAAGGATTGAAAAGACGAATCAAAATGGTGTATCATCCCAACAGTGAAGGCGGAAAAACAGAGGGTTAGATAACTGAGCGATGGGACAAAATTGAGGTTTTAGAAGCACCGGTAATTTAAATGAATATATGTTTTCAAAATCAGTTATATGTGATTAAATTTTCATCTAAAAGCCTCTCTCTTTGATTTGCATAAATTGAAAATAAAACTAAAAAAATTATTTGTTCATAAAAGTTGATGCAACTCTTTGTTTGAACTGTCTAAACGTATTGCGGAAAAATTTTGAAAAATCATAGTCCAGCCGTTTTTTTGAAGAAAACAAAGAACAAAGTATGTTCCGAATAATAAACAGTGGCCAAAATAAGCGTTCCTTTAATAGGGGAAAACAAGTTATGTTTTAAATCAGAATTGTACTCTTTATATTTTTTAGTATCACATGTAAAAGTCTTGAATTAGTACTTGATAAAATTTTGATGTTAAAGCTGTAAATGAGTGTAAACCGTACTAGTTCTATTCAGTATAACAGTGTGTATGCGTGTAAGAGGTTGTATAGCAAAATGTTAATTATCCTTTTTATACGTAGGTTTATATGAACAGTTTTATTTTAGTAAACAAAACCACAAAATACCTTGTGGGCTACCAAATAAAACATTTTTTCGGCGCCAAATACAAACAATTAATTTTTTAGTCCAGTAGTAGAAGAGTTTAGTCAAAAAAGCTCATCATTTGTATGAGGGTCTTTATCGTCAATGGAAAGGTCATTGGAAACTACATATGTTTGTTTATACCAAGGTTTAATTATTTAAGCTCGAGAAAAACTAAGAACTCAGAAAGTCTCACAACAAGCTCGGAAAAAAAACTAAAACCAGAGAGGCTCAACGCAAAGTGATGAGTAGGACAAAGCTCGAGAAAAAACCAAGAACCCAGAGAGGCTCGAAGCGAAGCAATGAGCTTTGATAAAGCTCGAGAAAATTTAAGAACTCAGAAAGTCTCACAACAAGCTCAAAAAAAAGCCAAGAAACAATTGGCACTCTAAGCAAAGCGATGAGCTAAAAAAACTCGGGAAAAGCCAAAAACCCAGAGAGGCTCGAAGCAAAGCAATTAGCTATGAAAAGGCTCGCGAAAAACTAAGATCGCAGCAGAGAGGCTGGAATCATGGCAATGATTGATACAAAGCTCGTGAAAAAAAAAACCTAGAGAGGCTCAAAGCAAAGCGATGAGCTAAGATAAAGCTCGAGGTAATAAAGAGTCAAGTAGACTAACGAAATGAAAGAAACAATTTGGGGTGACTCGAAGGAAGGTAAAGAGTCCAGAAAGACTCGAAAAAAGGAAGCAAGGAGTGAAGAAAGACTTGAAGGAAGGAATCAAAGAGTCAAGAAAGACTCAAAGAAATGAGTGAAAGAGTCAAAAAAGATTCGAAGGAAGGAATCAAAGAGTCCAGAAAGACTCACCGCAACAACAAATGGAAATGAGATGGAAAGACCGAATAAAGGTAGGAAGGATTGAAAAGACGAATCAAAATGGTGTATCATTCCAATAGTGAAGGCGGAAAAACAGAGGGTTAGACAACTGAGCGATGGGAGAAAATTGAGATTTTAGAAGCACCGGTAATTAAATCAAATATATATTTTCAAAATCAAACATATGTGATTAAATTTTCATATAAGGCTTTTCTCTTTGTTTGCATAAAATGAAGAAAAAAAATTAAAAAATTTTTGTACATAAGAGTTGACGCAACTCTTTGTTTGAACTGTCTAAACGTATTGCGGAAAAATTTTAAAAAATCATAGTCCAGCCGTTTTTTTGAAGAAAACAAAGAACAAAGTATGTTCCGAATAATGAACAGTGGCCAAAATAAGCGTTCCTTTAATAGGGAGAAAAAACAAATTATGTTTTAAATCAGAATTATACTCTTTAAATTTTTTAGTATCACATATAAAAATCTTGAATTAGTAGTTGATAAAATTTTGAGTTTAGAGCTGTAAATGAGTGTAAACCGTACTAAATCTGTCTAGTATAACAGTGTGTATGCGTGCAAGACGTTGTATAGCAAAATGTAAATTATCTTTTTATACGTTTGATTATATGAACAGTAATATTTTAGTAAACAACACCAAAAATACCTTGTGGGCTACCAAATAAAACATTTTTTTTGGGCGTCAAATCTAAACAACTAATTTTTTAGTCCAGTAGTAGAAGAGTTTTGTCAAAGGAGTTCATAATTTAAACGAAGGTCTTTATCGTCATTGGAAACGTCATTGGAAACTACATATGTATATTCATACCAAGACTTAATTATTTAAGCTCGAGAAAAATTAAGACCTCAGAAAGTCTCACAGCAAGCTCGGAAAAAAATCTAAAACCCAGAGAGTATCAATGCAAAGTGATGAGTAGGACAAAGCTCAAGAAAAAACCAAGAACCCAGATAGGCTCGAAGCAAAGCAATGAGCTTTGATAAAGCTCGAGAAAAACTAAGAACTCAGAAAATCTCACAACAAGCTCGAAAAAAAGCCAAGAAACCATTGACACTCGAAGCAAAGCGATGGGCTAGAAAAACTCGGGAAAAACCAAAAACACAGAGAGAATCGAAGCAAAGCAATTAGCTATGAAAAAGCTCGAGAAAAACTAAGAACCCAGCTTATAGGCTGGAATGTTGGCGTTGATCGATACCAAGCTCAGGAAAAACTAAAAACGCAGAGAGGCTCAAAGCAAAGTGATGAGCAAGACAAAGCTCGAGAAAAAGCCAAGAACCCAGAGAGGCTAGAAGAAAGGCGATGACCAAGACAAAGCTCGGGAGAAAGCGAAATTCCAGAGTGATTTGAAGAAAAGCGATGAACTAGACAAAACTCGGGAGAAGCTAAAAACCGAGAGAGGCTCGAAGCGAAGCAATGAGCTTTGATAAAGCTCGAGAAAAACTAAGAACACAGAAAATCTCACAACAAGCTCGGGAGAAAGCCAAGAACCCATAAAAACTCGAAGCAAAGCGATGAGCTAGAAAAATCTCGGGAAAAGCCAAAAACACAGAGAGACTCGAAGCAAAGCAATTAGCTATGAAAAGGCTCGAGAAAAACGAAGATCGCAGCAGAGAGGCTGGAATCATGGCAATGATTGATACAAAGCTCGTGAAAAAAACTAAAAACCCAGAAAAGCTCAAAGCAAAGTGATGAGTCAGACAAAGCTCGAGAAAAACCAAGAACCCAGAGAGGCTCGAAGCAAAACGATGAGCAGGATAAAGCAAAGAAAAAATCAGAACCCAGAGTAGTGCGAAGTAAGGCAATGAGCTAAGATAAAGCTCGAGACAATAAAGAGTCAAGTAGACCTTAACGAAATGAAACAAACAATCCGGGGTGACTCGAAGGAAGGTAAAGGGTCCAGAAAGACTCGAAAAAAAGGAAGCAAGTAGTGAAGAAAGACTGGAAGGAAGGAATCAAAGAGTCAAGAAAAACTCGAAGAAAGGAATGAAAGAGTCAAAAAAGATTCGAAGGAGGGAATCAAAGAGTCCAGAAAGACTCACGGCAACAACAAATGGAAATGTGATGGAAAGAACGAATGAAGGTAGGAAGGAATGAAAATACAAATCAAAATGATCTATCATTCCAACAGTGAAGGCGAAAAAACAGAGGGT